GCTTTTCCCTGTAACTCCCTGTCTACAAACCCTAAACCTTTATCCTGTCACTCAAGCCCTTGATCTCCAGAATTCTGACTCTACTTGCCTTCTTCCCAGCCTGGGCCCTATGGTTGGCTATCCCACTGATGCTCTCATTAGCATATTTAATTTCCTCTCAATTCCTTTATCCGGGCTCACTTGCCATCCTTGGACCCACCTATTATGGGTTGAATTATGTCCCCTCCAAAACAGATAAGTTGAAGGCCTAACCTCTAGTACCTTAGAATTCTTAGTTGACAATAGGGTCTCTATAGAGATAATCATGGACTGAGGTATTTAGGGTGGGCCCTAATCCAATATGATATGTCCTGATAAAAAGGGAAAATTAGGACATAGAAACACGCACAGGGAGAAGACGTCCGTGTGATGAGTGGTGCATCTACAGGCCATGGAAGGCCAGGGATTGCCATCAAACGACAAGCTAGAAGAGGCAAGGAAGGATTGTCCCCTAGATCCATCAAAGGGAGCGTGACTCTGCTGACACTTTGATTTTGGACTTCTAGCCACCAAAATTGTTCTATTCTTTTAAGCCACCCAATTTTTGGCACTTTGTTACAGCAGCCTGAGGAAACTAATACACCACCATTTGTTTCCTTTCTGTTTGCTCTGACCCACTAAACGTTGCTATGCAAAATCGTAATATTAGGCTGATTGATTCCTCTACAAATTTACAGCTATCCTCGTCAACTCAGTAGTCTTTCCATTGATCTTTCATTGACTCTCATTTTTACCTCATTAGCTTTTTACTCTGCTGAAGCCCCAGACTTTTGCCCCCAGAACTGAGATGTTCTTGCCTCCTACTTTATCAAGAAAATTTAAGCCACATCGTAAAACCTCAGTCTCCCTCTTTTTACCTTAACAGTTCTCTCTCCTTACCAGTTCTCTCGTCATCCCTCCTACTTCTCAGTGATACAAATCCCTCCCTCCTTTCCAAGGTTAGGCTCTCCATTTGTGACCTGGTCCCATCCCTGCCTGCCTATTCCAGAACCATCAAGGCTTCCCTTTCCATTTTGCATCATCTCTACTGATTTTTTTTCTTCCAAGTCTACAGTCTTCATGAAGACCTCCTTCCCTCTTAGAAACAAAAAAGCTTTTATCCGGCCATCGATGAAGCTACTACTCTATCACCCTCCTTCCTTTGGTCATCACACTTCTTCAAAGGTAGCCTGCCTTACTGTCTAGCCGCTTGTTCTTCAGACCTTGAATTTGGCTTTCACTCTGCTTGCTACACATCAACTGCTGTGACCTTTTTGCCCTCCGCTCCATTTATGTGATGCACCACTGACCACCCCCTTATAAGGCTGTTGACTACAGCAGACAGCCTGGCTCTGTTCTAGCACCACTTCCCTGTGCTCACAAGCATTTGGCATATACTGTGTGCAGGACACCATACTAAGTGCCATGGAGTTTACAGAGGTAAGTAAACTATAGGTCCTACCCTCAAATAACTTAGATCCTAGTGAGGGAGAGGAGGCGGGCACATACACACCTATCGATACACAGCTAAAAAGTTTTAAAAATAGATAAAGTGTTGTGGGTGTTGACAGAAAGAGCACTTCAAGCCCAGAGGCAGGAGAAACTACAGGAAGTCATCTTCATCTGCTTTGTGCTTTAATTAGTCACATAGGTCTGTCTCAAGCTGTCCTGGGCTAGAAATAGTCTTCTTCCCCTCAGAGTCTTATGTAGAATAGATGTTCAAGAAAAATTATTTTAAATTAAGTTGAAATGAATGATCCAGACTAAACGGGCTTGGCCTGTAGCCCACACCCACCTTGTTCCCTCCCCCGCACCCCCCCCCAAAAAAAAAGAAGGAAAAGAGTGACAAAAGAAGGAAAAACAGTGAAGTACAAATATCTTACTCCCCCTTTGTGGCTGTGTTGCCTTGATACCAAATGTTACATTTTGTTATCATATTTTCTAGCTGGCTATGGATACAAGACATGTGGGAAAGTTGCTGTAGATTTTAAAAGTACTCAAAGGCCTTGAAAATTAGTTTATTAAAGTTATCTTTTCATTCCGAATGAAATAGCATCTAGTAGGTAGAGAGAGGCCAAGGATGCTGCTGAACATCTTAAAGTATAGAGGACAGCCCACAGGACAGCTATCTGGTCCAAAATGTCAGTAGTGCCAAGGTTAGAAACCCTGGCCTAGGGTACGTGAGCAGGGCATCCTCAGGAATTTAAACAGTGATGTAGATAGGGCCAAGAATAATGTTTGTATAAATGACTCATTTACGAATGATATTTCTCAGGCCAGAAACATAATTAACAGTTTCTTATCTAACTAAATAAGAGTATAAAATAAGTAGTAATGCAGGGTGAGCCATTATTCTTCCTAAACAAAGTCCATTATGGAAAAGAGTAAATGATGATTTATATGATTTTGCTGTCTGGGGATATATAACTAGGACCAGGAGTCTCGAGCCAAAATGAAGCTGCTGTGATGTGACCTCCAGTGAGTCAGCAGAATCCGACACCATCGCAGCTAGTAATCTTGCTGGGCCTGTGTGTGTGAGGAAGGATGAAGTTTGAAATGGACTAAGGATTTTGACTTTTGAGAATTATAAAAGCAAAAAAAAAAAAAAGTATCGTGATGGTATTTTCATGAAATACTTAGAGCTCAACTTTTCAGAGTTCTACTTCAGAGCTGAACTTTTCGAACTCCGAAAACAATAAATTTTATAAATCTTACTTTAGAAGAGTGCTTTTTAACATAGTTATGTCAGGAAAATTGCCTTTTATTCTAAAGAACAGCTTCTTAGCTTGAAAATAACTTTTTATTTACTTGCTGATTTTGCCTTTTAGCTGACACTGCATGCTGCATTGAGGATGTTATTACCTGTGTAACAAAAAGGTCAAAACAGAAGATGGTGACAATTCCCCTGAGACTGTGGCAGTTACCACTGGAAACTTTATTTAAAACAAAACAGATATACTTAGGCTGTGTATTATGTATGAATGTTAGCAATTTCAGTTCTGAGCTGACATGTTCAGAAAACAAAGTTTATTCTTACAAAAATCATCTGAAAATAAATTCCATTATGGACTTTAAATGCTAGATGAAGGATACGGGGAAGTTTTATAAAGGTTTTATAAAAAGGATATTGTTTTTTAAAAAAGGGATATTATATCCTTTAATGTTCTCCTCAGTGGGAGAATTTTGCTTGCTATTTTGGCTTCCATGGTGCTTCATCTTTGCAGAATTCAAAATTTTAATCCTTAAAACACCCTCCAAGGTTAATGTACCTGAAATAGTATGTGGAATAGAATAAGAATGCTCATTAAAAGTTTCCTGCAATGACAGTATGCTGGACCACTGTTGGCTGTCGCTGTTTCCCAGGCTCTGGCTCAAGAGCAATTATACCCATCTTGATTACAAAACTTATATGCAACAGCTACTCTTTGTGACTGCCGATTCCTACCTGATTTAATCTTGGCTAATTAAACCCATCCTCTTTAATCCTTACAACAACCCTGCAGAGCAGAGATTATTACCCTCATTTTACAGGGGAGAAAACTGAGACTTATGTGACTTGCCCAGGGCCACACAATAAATGACAGGGACAATGTTTGAACCCATGTTTGTCTGATTCCAAAACTACTTTCCAACAACTGCACCACATAACCACGGTGCAAACCTGAGACTAAGTACATTCATTCACTCATTCATTCAACAAGTATTTACTGAATACCTACTATGTGTCAGGAACTGTTAAAATAGCCGCTTAAGATACAACAAGGAACAAAATAGACAAAGCTCCCTTCCCTCGTGGCATTTACAATCTGTGGTAGAAGACACAATATGTCATATGGTGCTATGTGATCTGGAGAGAAAGCAAGGAAAAGAGTGCTGGTTAAGTGGAGGAGGTAGCGACTTAAAACAGGGGTGTTAGGGAAGCCTTCCAGAGAAGACATGTGAACAAAGCCCCATGGGGGTGAGTTTAAGAATCATGGAGTCACCTGAGGGAAAAGCACGGTAAACAAAGGCAACTGTCAGTGCCTGGGCCCCAGGCGGAAGCATGCCAGGAGTGTCTGCAGAAATAGCAAGGAGGCCAGTGTGGCTGCAGTGAGGCGGAGAGTTGTAGGAGATGAGGCCAGAGAAAAAAGGGCTATACAAAGGGACAGATGGTGTAAGGCTCCCAGCCCATCAGTAAGGACGCTGGCTTTTATCCTGAGATGAGAACCCATTTAAAGGTTTTAGCACTGGATGGCATGATGTAACCTAACATGTTTAGAGGATTAGTCTAGCTGCTCTGTGGAACATAGAGTAGGAGGGCAGAGACAGGAAACGGGAAGGTCAGTTAGAAGGCTACTGCAGGAATTCGGGAGAGAAGTGATTGGCTTGGACAAAGGTAGTAACGGTGAATGTGAGAAAAAGGAGTTGGACTGGATGTATTTTGCAGGTAGAGCCAGTAGATTTGCTAAAGGGCCAAGATTTTTGACCTGAGCAACTGGAATGATGTTTTTGTCCTTTACTGAGGTAGAAAAGCCTAGGGAGAGAAGCAGTTTGGAGAGATGGGGGCATGTTAAATTTGATTTGGGATAGTTTAAAGATCCCTATTGGACATCCAAACAAAGCTCTTAATAGAGAGCTGCATATACAAGTTTGGAAATCAGAGAAGAGGTACAGACTGGAGATACAAATTGTAAAAGTCATCAGTTTAGCCGTGGCATTTAAATCCATGAGGTTGCATTAAAGTACCATGCATTTTTGGTTTGAGTGGGGAAGAGTCTGAGCCATGAAATAGAGCTGTGCCTATTTTTATGGAGAGATCACCCCATGAACCAGGGGTGCTCCATCAGCTGTGAAAACGTTGCCAGTAACCCCCTGAGAATGAGCCAGAAGAACTGCTCATATTTAAGGAACTGGGTGTAACCAACACTCGATCTGCATCTATGGCTCCAGTGAATTTCCACGATTTACAGTATAAAATCAAAGAAAAAATGGTGATCTGGGGTTTATGCAAGAGATGGAGAATTCGTGAGTCAGCAGTGTGTCAAAAGATCATTGTAGGGACACAGAGAAGCATTTAGAATGAGCAATACAATTATAAAAAGAGAGAAAATGTAGGCCCAGTACCTTCACAGAGTTGATTTGCCTGGATGACAGGGAAAAAGAAACTAAAAAATTATCTCCAACGTATAGAAAAGGACCAGCCGGAAGGGGACTAACTTCCCCATCTCTGCTATGCCCAGGTCTGGAGGGAGGGGACATAAATACATGAAGGGGTTCAGGTGGGGTGACCAACCATCAGGGCTTCCCTGGGACAGAGGGGTTTCCTGGGACACAGGACTTTCAGTGCTAAACCCAGGGCAAACCGGGATGGTTATTCACCCTACTTCAGGCCAGAAACACTTCCTGGAACTGAATAGTTTTACAGTGAAATAGAAAACAGCTTATTTATTTAAGGTTAGTCTGATAGATGTAATGAAAATCTCTTGGTGATGATTTCCCACCCTGAGTTCTCACAGGCTTAGCCCTTTAATTTCGGAATTCCTTCTGGCAAACAGGGACTCCTAATGGGATCCATCAATGAAGCCCCATAGTTTGGAGGCACAATGTAAGGTCAAATGAAGGGTATGAAACAAAGGAACATCGTTATGACTCAGGATAGGCTGCACTGGCCTTTTGAGGTTAAAAGACCATCTCTGAAAGATGGAAAGGCCAGGCACTAGAGGTCTCTATTGAGCACTGTATGAGCAGATTTTCTGTGGTCATGTGGAGGGAATTGAGGTGCCAAGGTCTCTCGCTCCACACTGCCGTTCTGAGCAGTCTGGGTCCCGATGCGCTGATCCTGCTCTCCGCTGATCACGTGATCGGTTACCTTGGCCTAAAATTTGCTTTCTGTCCAATACACACGTGCCACGACTCAGTTTAGACATCACTTCTGGTGCTTTTCCACCTTGAATTTGGGGAGCCCCTGTCACCCCAGTCAATTAAGGCAGCACTTGGTTTTGTTCACCTTTAAATCTCCACAGTAGTACCCACTGCTGGGTAGAGAGTAAAGGTATGGTAATTTGAGTAAGAGGAATTCCTTCTTTTGGTGGGTACTTTTCTATACTCACTTTTCTTAAACAGCTTTTAGTTCCTGGGTGTCAATCAGATCCACAATGTATGGTGTGGATAGAGCTTATCCAGTAACTGAGCAAGAAACCAAGAGGGAGGATAAGGTATTAGGTATGATTACTGAGTATGATGGCCTTGTAAAGGTCATCCGTAGGAGGTCAGCCTTAGGAAGGACCATCCAGTTTGACCATCTTGTCAAATCCTCTCATTTTACAGGTGAGAAAAGGAACTCTAAATGGGATAAAGAGACAGAGGTCACACAAGTCAGATGTGGCAGAGCTAGGATTAACACCTGGTTTGGGGTTATATTGTGATTTATGTAGGAAACCCGTCCCAATACCCTTCTCCAACTACACTGCTCTATTTACTTTTTCTTTTTATGCAGTGTTAATCATCACTTTCCCTCATCTCCCAATTTCTGTCCTTAAACTCCCAACTTCTTCCAGGGCTTGTTCTAAAAGATAACGAGGTAGCAATTACAGAAATAGTAGCGGGACCCTTTCTGAGGTTTGCCAAAAGCCAGCAGAGCCCACTCTGAAAGGAACACAATCATCTCCAATCCCCGCATGAATGAATGCCAAGATTGCCATCCCACCCCAGCCTCATGAGTGGCAAAGCCCAACTCCTGCTGAGCCTAACTCAGTCACACAAAACGTAAGACAGCACAGCACACACGTGAACTTTTGCCACTTTTGTATTTTATTGTGGAACTGAGTTTGTTTCTTTTTTTCTTTTACATCAAATATCCTCAATGGAAGAGGGGATATTGCACACAAATATCATAAAAGCACTACATATTACTTTCACTGGAAACTAATTTTCTACATTAGATATGACTGGATAGGATAGAAGTGATGCAGGATTATAAGACATAATACCATACACAGCTGCAGACTGACACAAACACCATTCAGAACAAGAGAGAGGAGTGGGAGGTGCTTCTCTGCCGAGCTCAAGACCACTTCTTTCCAGGGCCAGAAGGAGAAGGGCTGCATGCAGCACAGGTAAGCCGACTCTGACCTGCTACGGGGTGTTCTCAAAAGGGCAGCCCAGTCCTGATGCCTCATCTCAATGGTCCCTGCTTTGGGGAGCTCTCCAAATGAATGCAGAGAAGCTATTTTTTTCCCCTTCCTTTTCAGTTTTTGATGCTGCCTTTTAAATCAACTTAATAAAGTCACAGATTTTTTTAATAGTAAATCATTTTAATACCAGGTGAATAACCTAATTGCTTTCAAAGAAATGCTCATCCCTAGACTGCTTTTGGTGTGTTGTTCAGTTGGTTAAAAGATAAAAGCTCACAGTTCCTTTCAAATGGAAACAGGATCTTCTAAATCTGAAGCGCAAAAAAAAAAAAAATGTTATTAATCTAATTCACAATATCATTACTGAGCAAGAACCTCCTGTGACAGGTGACTAAAGAGAGGCAAGAAAAGCAATTTCAGAATTGTAGAACAGCTCCTGAGAGCTGAAATTTGGTAACAGAAGGAAAATGGAAGGTGGTAAAATTTCCATTAACGAATGATTTAATCTTATTAAATGAGTATTGAAAAGCTCCTAAACTGCATAAGCTATTGGAGACACTTAAAACATTCATATACACTGGGGAAACCATTCACTATGATATGTAAGGTTAAGAAAAAAAAAATTTTTTTTTCAACTCCATGAAAAATGGAATTGGGGGAAGGGGGTCAGTCACTGTATCCAGTCCCACCACAAGACTGAGAAAGCATGCACGAGGGTTGGGTTTTGAGAAAGGGAATAGAATTAGTTAAAATTGAAAATGGAGGATCATCTCTAACATTTAGTCTCTGTAGAATTTTGCTTAAGAATACTACCAAAAAGGTCATGATCATGAGTGCTATCTCAATAGAATTCCATCGTTTAAACAAAGTGTAAATTCCTTCCACGCAGAAATTCAATCCATACAGTTGGATTAAGTTATCGGTATGAATAAAGCTCCCGGAAGTCTGTGTCAATCTTTAGCTCTCACCATGAATGTACACGGTACATTGTGATGGCTGTTACTAAACTAATTGTGTATTTATGGAACTAGCAAAATTAGGTTAGTCACCCAGTTAGAAAGTTCTCTGGAAGGACAGGAGCAACCTGTAATGCAAATATTGGTATTCCTGGTATACTCAGGCTCTGTGGTCATCACTGAGAACAATGGATGGAGAAAGGTATATTTCATAGGAAAAAGAGCCAGCTGACCAGTGACAGCTTTTGTATATTTTTCCCATTAAATCCCATAGCAAAAAAATAAAAATAAAAATAAAAATAATAACAATAATAATAAAAAATAAGGAGTGGGATAGAATGGTTATAATTGAAAACTGGCTATAATTCTTCTAAAATGTTGGTAATTTTTAAAGCAAAATAATGTACATGTTAAATAAATTTAATTTGGGAAATTAGAAAATAATTCCATCTTCTATCAAAGAAAAGTCAACCAGAGGTCTGGATTTGGCAAGAAGGCTGCAAATTTCTTTTCTCATTATGTGTACTAACTCAACTACTAATCATTAAATAATTATCTTAGTATCTTAGGTTGTCTCATTAAATAAGTTTGAAGTAGATGAGTTTATACTCAATGAAATTCATTTATGTTGCAATGTTTTCCATCATGTGTTAATTTTTTGTACCCTTAATCAATGTGTTGTTTTTAAAGACTTGAAAAAATGGAGTAATAAATAAAAGCTGCATTTCCAGAGAAGCCTAAAAAAAATAGAATATTAATTTTTTTAAAAAATTAAACATTTGAAAATGTAATTCACAGCATTAATTAGACTGCATAGGTCCTCAGTGAAAAGACCCTGAAGAAGCATTGTTTAAACCCTCATAGTAAGTTAGCAGTGCAAAACATACACTTATCAGACAAAAATAAACTAAAATGTTATTTTTGAAATAAATAACTAACGTAGAAAATAAAATGAGGTCATTGTTCACTACTCCGGAGATCTTAGAGTCTGCAGGAAACACAACGTGACAGAGCACAATACAGTTGTCACTGAGAAGTTTGCCACATCTGAACACCGGGTGCATCGATCTGCAACTTGAAACTTGACATCAGTTTTAATCGTGATCTGACTTCCCAGATTCACTGTTCAATGACAATGATGGAAATGATCTTTGAACTCTACACGATGAATCGTAGGAGCTGGGAATTCATTTGCTTTCAATGTATTATTTCTGTTTTCTTTCTCTCTCTTTCTTTCTTTTCTTTCTTTTTTCTTTCTTTCTTTTTTTTTTTCAGAAAAGAAAATCCCAAAGCAAATTTTGCTAGGGTTCTTTGAACTCATCTTGGCTCTTTTACCTCATGGTTGAAGATCTTGAAAGAAGTATGTAGGATATCACTGGGTGATGTAAAGGCCTGGAAAAAGTACCCTACCATGCCATTCTCCCCTACTCTCAAATAGCACATACTCAGATTTTTATGTTATGGGAATCAAGGGGTGGGAGGTATCACTATTCCTGGTAGTTGTGGGTTTTAATAAATATTATTACTGCAATATCAGACTTCAATCTCACCAGAACTTCAAAAAACATTATTCATTTTTTGTCTTACGAAACACTTAAAAAAAAAAAAAAGACTGTCATTTGAAAATTTTCTTAGCATTTTCCTGCAAATGAAAACATTTGTTAAAAAGTTCATCTATGAAAAGTTCTCACATACCTAAAAAAAAATTCTTCTGTACACTTGTTCCCATAATTATGCTGAAATTAATGGAAAATTAAAAAAAGCCAATGTAAGACAATGGAAGGTAAATACTGTACACTTGGAGAACCTCTTTCACCATTAAGATTCACTGTTTTCCCAGTTCTGATCATAGAAGCCATTTCAATCTTGAACTTGCAGTAGTAAAGAAGCTATGAAAGGCTCAACTGGTTTGGCTGAGGGGCCACAGGGGCACCGAGGTGGTATTCCACACACGCATGACTCAGCATCAAACTGTTGCACCTTTCAGATCAGCTTCTAGTACTCCCACACGCGTACACACACGCTCCTGTAACTGGAGTAGCTATAATCCTACACGGATGTTTTATAAACTTGCTGTCTCACATTAAAAAATAATAAGTGCATCAAGTATCTTTGTACATTCAAGTCACTTTCTAAGGCAAATTGTCTACCATATGTACTCCCAACTGCTTTGGTATTTGCTTGTTAATTGGGATGGACTTGGGTGTTTCTGCATGCAGGTTAATTGACTCAGAGTGGACTAACTGGGTGCACAGATGCTGGGAGCATGCCTTAGATCAATCTACTCGTGTGTTTGAAGAGTCTAAGAGTTCTGAATGGGGTTCAAACCACTTGCATGTCCAATCTACAATCACTATGTTATGTCAGTGTGCAGCCTTCAAACTGAAGGAGCTTAATTAAGGCGTGAAAATCTCACATGCCTTCATAACAAGTTCTGTTCTTTTTGTTTTCTTCCAGCCAAGTTGTTTTAGAAAATTAAGACCCTTTTGATGACTCAGACTGACACAAGTTGAAAACTTTGCCTATGTAGACTATAGAATACAGACTGCCTGAGAATATGCAGACCAAATTGTTGGTTATTTTCTCTTCCTTACCCCACCCTGCTCTCTCTCTCTTTCTCTCTGGGTATCTCACCAGCACTCTCTACCATTACATCTCCTTCTCTTGCATTCTTTTTCTTTCTCATTCTCTCTCTCTCTCTCTCTGTCCTGCGTTCTCTCTCTGTGTGCGCTCTTTCTCTCGCTTTCTCTCTTTCTAAGACAAATGCCTCTATCTAGCAGAAGTCAGTTGGGTTTGCTAGTGCATGGTTTCCAAATGCTTAGCAGAGATGAACTGGGGTAGGTAATTTTGCAGTAACTTGAACCCTAGTGTGGGAATACTGTTACTTCCCTTAGCAATCAGCAAAAACTGAGAAATATTAGTGACTTGCATCACCATGACACAGTCTAGTGTTTGGCAGGTAATGGTTCAGTGACTTATTTAGACGAATTGACATTTTAGAAAAGGTGATTTTAAATTGAAGACTTTCTGGAAACAAAGTTCAAATCCTGTGGTGTGGCTGGCCTTGGTCTTTACAGTTCAATCTTGCACGCAGGGAAGGATTCATCTTGCATAACCACTGTGCTGCTGCTTGCTAAAACCATGATGTTGAGGTCCTGCTGTTTCTCATGGGTCTCCTGGTACCATTCCCTCATCACTTCCGAGTCATGAGTTGGAATCAGGGTTACCTGCAGGGAGAGAGAAAACAGCTGTTTAAGGGCAGAGCCAGAAATCAGATGAAAAAAAAAAAAAAAAAAGACCAATCAGGTCTTAGACCATTAGGAAGAAGAAAGGAAAAGATAGGAATTTTTTCTATTTTCCTCAAAAAATGCAAAGGACTTTTCAACTTACATTTTCCAGGAACCAAAAATACCTAATGACTAGTCAATTAGTTCATTTATATTCACTGTCAGTTTTTCAATTCGATGTTAAGAGAAGAAGTGCTTCAGTTAAGGCAAAATTTCTTATATTCCCTTTAACATACCCGGCAAGTTTTGCATTTAAGATATTGCATATTTAATCCAAGGAGCTTTGGTAATTACTGCAGCTCAAAGCCCTCTAATGTGTGTAACTACCATTTTGTCCTGAGAACAAGGATTTGTATCTTTAATTCGTGGGTGTGGTTAGGGATGGAGGAGTGGGTAGGGTGAGTGGGTAGTGGCTTAAATAGTAAAAGTCCCATCTAGAATTCATTAAGAGGTCACTGGTGCTTCTCATGAGATTTTACATAATTAATTAACAAATAATTCTATTGACTCTTATGCAAACAGTTTACTAGGTGACTGTGCAGACAAGTAAAACAGAGAAGCACAGGTCACAGCTGAAATGATAGAGTAATTCATGGTCAGTCATGATGTTTGTGAGTTGGGAACATCTCATCTCATTGGGAGCCATCTTCAGCAATGCCCCTCCTGTGGAATTTCACATGGACAGTTTGTTTTCTAAATGGCCAAACTCCTAGCTTTGGTCTACTTGTGAAACACACAGGAGTAAAGACAATTCCTTAGCAGCTCTTACATGGAAATATGACCACTCTGATTCATTCACACATACTTCTGGTATATTAGAGGGAAGGGCAAGTGACCTTGGACCCATTTTGCAGGTAAGTAAATTATGCCTTACGGTGGTGAAGTTGCTTTCTTCCCAGGCCACAGTTGTTACTGGTGCCAAGAGTAATATTTTAGATTATCTTCTGTGTGTGAAATCCACTTTGTCCTCAGGATATTTCAGGTGTGACAGACCCCTGGGTCACCTCATGTGGATCCACAATCACAACAATGCCTCTTTAAGCACGATTCCTCCCCTCCGCCTCTGGGCACAGCTCCATGCTCAGTGTAGACACTGCCCTGGAACTCTTACCTGCATGTTGCTGCCCCACTGGGCCTTCCCTTCCAACAAGGCATCCAGGACAGCCCGGCTGGGCTCCTCAGCAGCAGGGTCATTCCCACTCACCACGTAGTAGGACGACCTCACTCTCTTGAAGAATTCGACATCAACATTCTTACTATTGCTGTGGTTGGGAATGTAGCACAGGTCCAAATACACAGGGGGTCCTGGAGGCACAGCTGAGAGCTTGGCTGTCTTGGTGGTTCCTGGTCCTTTGGTAAACAAACAAAGAGAAAGCCAGGGTCACAAGAATGTGAAGAGACCCCCAGGTCCAGTACACCTTCCCTACTCATCCTCAAGAAGTTCCATAGGGCATGCGAAGGGAAGACCGGGCATTTCCCTCTCTCTTGTCGAGGGCATTTAACACTGGCAATCTGAGAAGATAGAACATGGTTGTTTGCCATCTCACCAGGAGAAACGAAGAAAGGAATGGTTCCCCGTTTATGGGCAACCCATTTGGAGGAAAAATTTCAAGGCCTTCCCAAAAGATGGAACTAGATAATAATAATATGCCTAAAAGGGCTACCGATGTGCCTCTTACTTTGAAAGTGATCTAAAAAACAGATTTTAAAAGTCAAAAGGAAGCCTCTGCATTTGGTGAACTATGATTAATAAGAAATGTTAGTAATCCATGTTAGGATCTCATTTGAGAGCAATTTTGCCAACAGCTGAATATTATACCCTAACAATTTGACCTAGTAAATAGTTAAGCTCTTAACCTTATATGATTGCCAAGGCCCTCAGCACCTCAACCTCAATCGTAAATGGATGAAACTGCATTTTCTATCCTTAGCACAGTCTCTGAAAAGTGAGACACCTCTCCCTGGACAAAAAGCTGGATACCCAACTTTGACAAGAGGAAGGTTCAGAAAGACTAGGCTTTCTCTAGCCAATCAGGACGCACCAGACAGGGTAAAGGGGCACCTGCTCCGTCTAAAAGGCCTGGTCAAAGTAAAGATTCGGAATAACACAAAAGTTTCCTGGCATCTTATATATATTTGGTGAGCTGGCTTTCTGCCTTGTTCTAGTTAGAATGTTTAAACTTTTTGAAACATTAATAGAACTAGCCTTCTCAGATAGTGGTTCTTTACCCTGGCTGCATAATTTGAATCACTTACTATGCATAATACTGTTGCCCAGGCCCCATGCCCCAGAGTCTGACTTAATGAGGCTGGGGTGGGGGCCTCGGCATCAATATCTTTTAAACGCACCCCAGATAATTCTAATGTGCCAACAGTTTGAGACCACCGCTGTAAAGTCATTTCAAATACCAGCTGGATCCTATAAACGTAATCCTATTTCTTTTCTCCATAGGATGTTTAAAAATTTGTCATCCCAGAGTTAAGACCACCAGTGAACACCATCAACTGTCCAGTTTTATTTTTAGGGGGTTTGAGGAATGACGAGAATCAGCCAAACGGATTTTTAGATAAACCGACTCATTGTATAAATAGATTAATCAGCCATTTTAATGAATCTGAGCTGAAAGCCCTCAAAATAGCCATATATAAGCCTCCCAAAGAACTCTGACTTATAGAAGTTAATGAGTTACAGTTCTTTTAATAATTGAAAATGCCTGCAATTTTTCCTAGTGTGCTAAATTGCTACTATCAATGCCAAATAAATATTGCTCGTGCTCATAAAGAAGCACGAACTGAGGAAACTGACAGAAGTAGACCCAGGTTTGTTTTAAAAATCAATTAATAGTGTGATTTTGTCTTTTTAGAAATCTATTAGAAAAACATTTTCAAAGGAAATCAAATTAACTCATCTTTATTTCTTCTTTGCCTTAAAATTCTCTTTATATGACAAAAATGTTTTAAAAAATAAACTGTGTGGGCTGGGGAGTAGATGTTTTGGCAAGTTGGGTAGCAAATTTCAGTTGGTTTTTATCTATTTGAATGGATTTCATGTTTTCTTCCAAGTGCAGGTCAGTTGTCAATTCTTTTAGACCAAGGGGTTGATTATCTGGTGGTTCTCCATTAATCTTAAGCATGACTAAATTGTTTTCTACATCCATATAAAAAGAGGAAATCTGATGAGAAATGAGTCTTGAAATTGATACTTCATGTTGCTTAACATATAACTTTGCAGTTGTTAACACTTGCCAAAATGCACTGAATTTGAGAGTCTCAAGTTTCACCTATCAGATTTTCCCTAAGAAATCAAGGAATTGTTATTTAAGTTATTTTTTGCTTTACATGTTTGGGTCAACTTATATTACTTTGTGAACTGTAGTCTAAAATCCCGGTATAACTACACAAAGCAAATAAAATGTAATAATGCAAATCCCGGTGATTGGTTTGAAGCAACAAAATGAAGCTGAGTCATCAGAGATCTGTTCCATCGAAAACCCAGGTCATTGCTGAGAACTTGATAAATCTGGGAATCGGGACCAAAACAGGAATAATCAGAAGTTAGGGGTATTGCTCCTACCACATGCAATTTCAATCTGAAAGAGTTCTCAGTCTCTCAGCGAGACCGTGGGGTAAGAGGGAGATAAAAAGAGCCTTCAATGTTCTTCTCTCGATTTGTTCTGGCTACCCACTGGTCAACTGAAATTATGAAATTACGGTATTTGATGGCTGATAAGAAACCAGTATTGCCCGTAATGGGGATGTAGCTCTAGCCTGGTGATTTTTTTTTTTTTAAATATTTATAATTTTAAAATGTTAGAATTTTATCTTAAATTTTTAAAATATAAAAATGGAATCTAAATTGTGGGCCTACGCTGGTCATTCTAGGCTTGGCTTGAAACTCTGGTTCTCCCTAGGAATTTGGGAGCTCTTGGCCTGTGTCACCTGAGCCTCATTCTGGGGCCACAGCCAATACAATCTTCCAAAAGAGCCTGAAACACACCTCCTTCATTCTGAAGATTTAGAACAAGGCTGTGGTTGCTGTGCTGCAGAATGAAGCAAACCCAAGAATCACATATGGTGAATGAGAGCTGCTCTGGGGCCATATGCTGAGCTATCCCCAAGCCTATGGGCCACACGGAGCTGAGATCTATACCTTTTGGCACAAGAGAATGGTAAAGGGAAGGGAGAACATCCAGTTGTGCTACCTCACCTTCCCAGTACACAGTCAAATGGAAATTCAGAGGCTCTAGTTGAAAGTGGAATAGTGGTGGCCACTGCATAGGGATGCTGGCACCTTCCACCTACCTGCAGTCGCAGTCTTTACCGATTTGGATGTGGAGGCGTTGGCGGCATTCTTGGTCTCCTTGTCTTTCTCTTCTCCACGTGCAGCTTTGACCTCGGGAGTGGTGGTAGGTTTCGTTGCTTTTTCCACAGATTCCTTCTTCTTAGGAGAAGCCACTCTAGACACTTTATCTGAGGATTCTTTCAAGCCCCCTGGTTTTGGCGAAGCTGCAGAGGGCTTGGACTTCCCATCACTCTTTTTGACAGGTGAAGATGACTTGGTCTTCGTACCCGGCTTTTTGGTTTTGGTCTTCTCTTTCAGGTCTTTCTTCAGAGCTTTGCCCAGGTTCTGCTCGATGGCCAAGGCCTCTGGGTCCATCATGGACACGTCAGGGTGGCGTGGAGAAGGGCTGCGGTCCTGCATTGGGGCCGGAGGTGGGTCCATGTGTTTGTATGTGACGGTTTTGTCTGTGGGGATGGTTTCTGATTCATCTTCAGAGTCGATATTTGCATCAGCTGTGATGGAGGGGCACTCTTCAGTCTCTGGGGGGACATCGGAATCGGTCTGAGATGGGGCGGACTCGCTGACTGAGGTGGGAGGGGTTTCGTCGCATTGTCGCCCCTGTGGCTTTCCTCCTGGAGGCGGTGGGGCTCCCCCTGATTGGGTGAGGGGCTTCTCGGATTCTTCAGTTGGCTCTTCACTGGCAAACCATTCGAGAGGGTTGGGATTAATGAAGGAGGGTGACAGCTCTGTCTTGGGATGCTTGTATTCACAGGAGGATACGAGGCATAAATCGACATCCTGACGAGCCTCTGAGGGGGACTTCTTTTCTGCAGCGTAGCACTGGTCCGAAGTCTCATAGGAATATGTAGACCCCTGGGGGGTTCTACTGATTTTCTCTGCAGCCTCATAACAGTATGTGGACGTATCAGGGGTGCGTGTGGTCTTTGTCGATGTCTCACAGGAGTAACTTTCAGACTCAGGGAAACTGGCAATTTTCTCAGTGGTCTCATAAGAGTAGCTGGAATCCCCAAGTGTGTGGCCACCATCTTCAGAGTCATCGTAGCCATTGCTGATGTCATCCAGCAGCCTTCTGGACCTCTCGGTCTTCTCATAGCCGTAGCCACTCACTTCAGGGGTTCTTATCGTCTTCTCACTTATCTCATATGAGTACCCACTTTCTTCGGGGCTCCGTGTGGTCTTCTCAGTAATTTCATAGGCATAGCTGTCATCGTCAGGAGTCTTGGTGGTTTTCTCAGTGGTTTCGTGTGAGTAGCCACTGTCACACAGGGATTGAGTGGTTCTCTCCGTCTTCTCATAGTAATAGCCACTCACATCTGGGGTCCGGGTGGTTTTTTCGTAAGACTCGTAGTCATAACCTTCTTCATCTGGGGACCTCGTTTTCTCGGACTTTTGATAGGCATAGCTGAAGTCACCAGGTGTCTTCCCTCCAATGTCCTTTTCCACAACAGATGTGGTCAAATCTCTATTCAAGGCTAGATGGTGTTGCATCGTATCAAATAACATCGAGGCACGAAAGCCATAGGGCTCTGCGGATGCTGCTTCTATTGGTGGAGAAGAGGAAGTGTGGCAAGCTGCTATGTTTTCTTTGATTGCAGAGGTAGAATCTGAAAAACTAGGTGAATATAAAGGAGAGGACTCTCTTGGGGTGAGTGGAGAGATATCAGATTTTGGTGATAGCTTTTCTCCTTCCAGACTTTGCACTTTTTCAGAAGTGAGTGAGGCATATAAGGACATATCTCTGGGAGGAGCAACATCAGATAGGGTATCTTCTTGGAGAGGAGAAGCTATCTGAGAAGGGGTATGTGCAGAAGAGGTGGATGGGGAGGCCTCGACCTGAGATACTGAGATGAGCTCAGAAAGATCATTATCTTGAGTGTAGGATGGCTCCTCCATTGGTGGTATCTTATGTGATAAACTAGAGTCCTGCATGTCAGAAGGACTGTAGTCCACCTCAGTTGGCCCATTTTCAGTAATGTGAAGCAGACCTGCACCCGCTGTAGGGTGATCTGGAGACTGTCGACTAAAGTCCATAGCAAGAGAGTGCTCAGGGGATTCTTGACCAAATTCGATAGACATTGAGGACTGTTCAGATCTGTGATCTTGAACTGGTGTTCTGGATTTGGCTGTTTTAGGGGAGAAGTCTGGTGGAGAAATTGACATTGGTCTTGGGCATTCCTCTTTAGATGGAGACATTTCTGTTTCCTGGAAAGTGGTAGGCGTTTGCACGACAGACACGGAAAGGGAGTCGTCTACTTCTGTGGAATGCGGGGAGCCAACCTCAGCATGCAGAGAAGGAGACACATCATCTGTTGTTGGCTCTGGAAATGAGCTCGTAGCCACAGAAGCTGTGGAGACTGAGGCCACCCCCTCCATATGAGAGTATGTGTCTTCTGCTACACCCTCATCAACAGGAGTAGCTGACTTGTCTGAGACAGTGCCTTCAGAAATGGACATCTTAGTGTCTTCTTTGAAAGATCCAAACTGACTGACATCTATCTGTGTAGGAGAAACATCTCCTCCTAACTTCCTTTCATCCAAAGCCAGTCCCGATTGAGAACTCATGGCTTCAATATCGTCCGTTTTCTTTTCTTGACCAAAGTCTTCCTTTATTGGTATAAAGTCTGTGCTTTTCCCTTCCAGTTTGTCTTGGAAGAGACCAGTGGAAGTCATGTCAGACAGTGGACTTATTTGGTCCGAAAAGCCTTGTTTTCCATTCTTTCCTTCGAAAGGGCTTTCGGCACGTCTACCAGGAGCCTTGTCATCAGCACTCAGAAAACTTTCATATGCAGACTCGGATCCAATTAAGGGAGGGCTCCGTAGAGGAGACAAGACCTTTTCAATAGGAGACTCCGAGTCAGGCACAGGTTCGTCCATGGGGCTTATGGAAGCCCTTTCGTTCTCATCTTTGGCATCGCTGAATTCAAAACTCACTGGAACTGCTGGCGGTTTTTCGATGACTTCTGTAGGGAGGTGACTGGATTTCTCATCGGTGGGAGATTGGTAGTAAGGTGTGTGGCCAGCACTGCCAGTCACAGACTGAGACGGAGATACCACTTCCAGGGTTTTATCCTCAGGACTAGCACAATGTTCTTCAACCACTTCTCGGGTCACCTCAGGAGACACTGGGGCTGTTTCTGCCTTTGCTGAGACTTTAATCTCATTGGGTGTCAGAGAAAAGTTCACACTACGTTCACCCAGGGGGGTCTTTTCTATGGGTGATGGCGGAGAAGGGCTCAGGGAAGGGCTCTTGGATGAACTAAGTTTTTCATCTGAAACTGCTGAGACAGTGTCTTTGATCTCCAACGTGGCGCTGGCTTTCAAGTCTTTCCCTTCAAAGCAGTAAGCATCACGTAGAACAGATTTGCTAAATTTGTCTTCCTCCATGGAGGAGGGTGGTGAGATGGTGGAGGCTGAAGCATTGTAATCCTTACCATCAGTGGCATCTGTTTTTGACCCTTCAGATAACCCATTGAGCGATGTAACAGCCGGTTTGGAGTATTCCTGAGAATACAGTGAAGACTCGTATTTGGTGATATTTACAAATTCTTGCGACGGGGACTCTGTCTCTTCGTTGTTGGTCTCGTCGCTCATCACGTCGCGGGGAGTGGACATCTCATCCATCGGGGTGGGCTCACTGGATATCTCAATGGTGGATTGAGTGTAGCCAGAGGTGGCGGTGAATTCTTCAGGCTGGTCTTCTCGATTCTCCTCATCGGAAGCAGTGGCCTCGCTCTCCGAGCCTCCAGGTAAAGTCTCATCGTGAATCGAAGAGGCAGGTTCCCGGGCAGGAGACTGGGCTTCCAGCTGCTTGGCTGAGGTGGTAAGGAATCCATACTGATCCTCGGCACCACCAGCCTCCGCAGCCTTGTCCACCACGGCCATCACGTAATCTTCAGCTTCAGCTTTTTCGGGCTCATATTCTTCCTCTCTGGCATCCTCAGCTTTGTCCTCCTCATCACCCTCCTCTTCAGACTGTTCAGCTTCTCCTTTCTCCACTGCCTCGTCCATGTCTTCTTCTGCTCGGTCATCACCACTGGCCACAGACTCCCTCTTCTCCTTGATGTGCACGTCTGCCTCAGCCTTTGCGCTTTCGTCCTCCTCCACGGGGCTGTGCTTGGAGGTGCTCACACACGCGGCTTCTTCACCATCGTCTTCTGGCTCCTCAGCCTCCTCAGTCTCTGCCTTCTCTTCATAGTCACCAGTCTCTGAGGATTCTTCAAAACCTGCTCCTTCGTCTTCAAATTTTTCAATGTCGTCCACCCCCTGCTTCTCGACCGGCTCCAGCTCCTCGGGCGTTTGCTCACATTCACCCTCCCCTTCAGTGGTGGTGATCCCCTCGTCAGGGGACTCAGCGGGACCTTTGATGACTTCTGTCTCTTTCTGGATGACGTAGGCTTCGACCGGCTCAGTCTCCTTCAGTTTCTCTGCATCTTCGATCAGTTCCAGCTGAGGCTTGATGTCTTTTGCTACATCGACCTCTTCAGCCTTCAGCTCTTCAAAGTCCTTGGTTAGATCCTCAGGGGACGACATAAGGGACCTCTCAGCTTCCAGTTCTTTGGTGGGGCCAGCGGTTGCTATTCCAGCTGCTGTTGCCACGGCCGCTGCAGCGGCCACAGTGCCAATGGCTGCAGCCGCAGCCTCTGCTGTCTTGCCTTCCTTCTTGACGACTTTAATTTTCCCCTTCTCCTTTGGCTTCCCGGCAGCAACAGAATCTTTCTTGACAGACTCTTCCTTCTTGGGTACTTTTGGTTTCAGTGCAGCTGGTTTTTTTGCTTCAGAGAGAGGAGTAGATGATTTCTTTGCATCTTTAGGAAGTTTCTTAATTTCTTTTTTGGGTTCCTTTTCTTCCTTTTTAATTTCCTTCTTTTCTTCCTTCTTAACTTCCTTCTTGGCTTCCTTGAGTGGTGTTTCTTTCTTAACCTCTTTCTTGGATTCTTTTTTCTCTTCTTTCTTGATTTCTTTTTTGACTTCCTTTTTCGTCTCTTCCTTTTTTGGTTTTTCTTCTTTCTTGATAGGTGTCTTGTCCTCCTTTTTAGCCACTTCTTTCTTTGTCTTGTCCTTCTCCTCTTTCTTTTCTTCAGGTTTTGCCTTTGTTTCCTTTTTCACCGTCTTCTCCTTAGTGACTTTGGGTTTGACATCTGTGGCTTGCTTTTCAGCGACCTCGGCTTTCACGGGGGGCTGCTCTTCTTTGCTGGGCACCTCCTTTTCAGTCACTGGAGGTTTGGTCTCTGTTTTTACAGGCTTGTCTTTTTTCACTGTTACCTTTTCCTTGCTTTCAACTTTGGGTGATTTTTCCACATGATTCGCTTTTGTGACCTCAGGGGTTTCTTCTTTAGACTCCTTTCGCACAGATTTGCTGGCAAGGGTTTTTGTGGCTGGCTTCAGACTTTCTCGGCTATCAGCCCTCTGTTTCAATTTTACTTGTTTCACAGCAGGAGTGGCCACCTGACCAGTTAGATCCTTTTGGGTGGCCAGTGGCTGTTTCAGGAAGTCTAAATGTTTGAGCTTTTCTAGTCCTTCCAGGATATTGTATTGGGTGCTATTTCCCGGAAATAGGACTCGGATGATTTTCTCTGCAGGGTTTGCTGGATGCCACACGATCAAAGATGAAACTGAAGTTAGGTAGGAGACTGGGATATCTATTTCTTGACCATTAGGCAGGATTAGTTCAGCCTTATCTTTGTTGGTGCCAGTCCACTGCTGCATAAAATACTGCATTTCCTTGCTGCTCTTGAGTGGGTTAAGCACGTACATCTCAAGTTTACCGACTCCCATTTTTTGGAAAAGAATGACAGGATCAATGATATTGCCTATACTTCTGAATAGAGGTTCTGGTTTCATGGACAGTTTGTTTAGGTACTGGAGAGTGAAGCAAGCTTCTTCTATGCTTCTCTTCATCTTGATGTTCGGATCTGGGTTTTTCAGATTTTCAGGGACATTGAGAAATACAACTCCTAAATCAGGGGAGATGAGGTTTTTCATCCAGTCACTATTAGTGGTGGAGCCTTGGGACTGTTCTTCCTCAAGCTCTGCAATTTTCCGCTGTAGCATGCTGTTTATCCCAGGCAAATTGTCATCCCCAATGTGGGTGAGCAGGATGGAGTCCACTCGGTCCAAGTGTCGAATGAGCTTCCAGAAGCAGGATTTTCTTTCTGATCCTCCATTGATGAGCATATTGAATCCATTCACTGCAAACAAGGCAGAATCACCTCTCCCTCCTGGAAAGATGTAGCAACAGGGTTTGGAGAGCTTTAGAAATCCACCCGATGTGGGAGGTTCCAGAATATCAAAGGGAGACGGGACTTCCACTGATTCTGAGAGATACTCGGTAAACTCGGAAAGTCCTTCCATTTCTGGCAATATAGAAGCCGAGTTGAGTTTAATATTGATGAAGTCTTGGAGATTGTGTCTGTCGAGGTTGGAGTTCTTCCAGTCTCCTTCTTCTGGACAGAAAAGGGTTAAACTAGCTTTGTTGGCAGGATGGGTGGTACTCAGTAATTCACCAATCTGGGATTTAAAAAAATAATAATAAACAAAGAAGAAAAGGTTTCAGTGAAAGTCGTCACTGATCCATCATCTCCATCTATTGGTAGGTATTACAGAATCATTGGATACATACAGGGCTCATTTCAGAGAAGCTGGTTGTTTAAATGCTGAAATATTTCCACAATGGTAGGTGAACAGCCTCTGTCCTGACCCTTCCTCCCCCCTTCCCACTACTCCCTTATGTCTCAACTGTGTCTCCCTGAGACATCTCCGTCATCTGTTCTCATCCAGCAGGGGAACTCCAGAACGCCGACCAGAAGCCATCTGGATGGTCAGTGCCTGTGCCACAGCAGTTGTGGATGCATGAATACCACCCGTGGGTACTTGCCATGCAAAAATGCCCTTTAAAAAATTTACACTATCACAGGAGAGGGCTACGAGTCACTTCACCACAGATAGAAAATGTTTTCTTTTATTCCACTGAGCTTAGCAAAAAGGCCTGGTTGATACAGTGAAGGAATTTAAATACAGTGCACTTACAGTTGCACTATATCTACTTTTTAGTAGGTACCAAAAAAAAAATTGGCATGGTCCCCCTACTCCTCCACCTACCCAGAGACAGAAAGCTATGGATTGCTTATTACTACAAAAAAATGTATTGGTTCTGGAATCAGATCACACTCTTTAAAACATGAGTGGTTTGTCCAGCAGATTCTCTACAAATACAAATACTTTTATTGAAGCCGTGATGATTAAAGCAACTGGGTAATTACAAGCAAGTGGCCAAATGTGTCCCCCATTTACTCATATTTAAATTCAAAGTGAGACATTCTACTCTCTCACAACTCCTGTTCTTTTCAGGGAAAGCTGGGTGTGAGTGGCTAAGATCAAATTTGTCTCAAACATTTTCTGACACACTGTTTAGTACTTCCCATAGAATGGAAATGCAGAAGAGCCGATCATGACCAAAACAGAGACTGTGGTTCAAGGAAAATGTTATTTTTTTTTTTGTCTTACATATGTTTCACGGTCTTAGTTTAGTAAATGGTGAGGGAGAATCACGCTGTAAACTCCAGTCTTCCTTTCAGTTGCAGCAAAGCTCATAAACGAGCCCAGAATTCAACTGAAAAGAGTACTTCGTCCTTGATGGTAAATGATGAAAGGGCAAAGCAAAGATTTCATGTGGTCCAGGCACCCCTGAGTCAACAGGTCTGAACTCTTACCTTCTAATATTAGAGTGGTTTCTTCTGTCTCTTACAAATTCCTGGATACCAACATTCATAAGGGTAATTGAAAAAATTGGAATGAGACTGCCATATTAGTAATACAGCCATTTTTTGTTTTGTTAGCCTATTTGTCCTACATTTTAGATGCAGAGTCACAAAATAACAAGTCTTTGATTTTGCTGGTTCCTCAGACTTGACTTGAACATCTCCTATAAACGGGAGAAGAATCAACTATCTTGGAAGCTAAGAAAACTGAAAACATGAATGGTAATCATCCCTGGGGTAGTCTTTGCTCAAAATATTTGCTGACCAAAGCACACATGAACACCAAATATGGTTTCTTGTCCAATAATTAGTATAGAGCCTCATCACCATCACTATAGCACAGTTAGGATTCTTAGGATTCTCTCGATCCTAATTTTCACACAGAGAGTGTATAAGCTATTCATGTTTTATAATACATTTTAGAGAAGAAATCTAGGATAACTCAAACTGCTGACTTTTCAATAGTAAAAATTTTAAATTTGGTCTATTTTAATTTTTGAAATTCCACCCTAACTGGTTTGGCAGCCAAGGGTTTAATCCAGCTGTGTGTAGGGGACATTCAATCATTAGCTCTTCTTACGTAACATATGTAATCACCAAGTTCAAAGAAATGGTAAAAAGACTTAAGGAGTACCTCCCTACTTTCCATCTTTTCACTTCTACCCAGAGAGTTCCTATGAAATGTGGGAAATGATTCCAAAAGAAAACAAGATTGCAGAGACTTCTGAGGAAGTCAAAGGTAATAAAAAACAGCAAAGAGGCTGGTGAATGGAAAACTATGATGTACAAGGGAAAGCAGAAAAAAAAAGTCGGCACTGCTGGACAGGTTTCTTTTCAGAGAAGGCAAACCTGGTCCCTCTATAGAAGCAGCAGCGTACTGTGTATGATGAGGCAAGAATGCACAGACTGGGCTAGGGAGAGCCCTTCAAGAAGGAGATGGATGGAATGAGGCAGGGAGAAGGCAGAGAAGGAAAAACTACTATAGCCTTGGAGCTACACAGCAGAAACCAACTCCCTGCTTCCCCTCCACACCCGAACTCCAACGCACACACTAGAGAGTGAGCGCCTCAAAGGCAAAGATTGGGTCTCATGAGTGTCCAGCCCACAGTGGGACTCAATCAATGCTTATTCAATGACTGGATGAAAGTAATACAAAGAATCCAATAATATGAGCAGTGGTGAGGCAACTTGTGACTAGGTCTTAGATTTAGAAACTGAGGCTTCTTCAAAAAGAGTTTGGAAATCATCAACATACTAAATGGTAGCTATTATAGCCAATTATATTAAAAGTTCCTGAATAGGAGGAAACACATTTTCTACATTTCTGTATCACAGTTAACTCTGTAATCAGGCTCAAGAGATGTTTGATGAACTGCACTGAACTTGGTCTATTCAATACATGCTGTCCTCCTGGAGTGGCCACTTGGGAAGTGACGTGAACCTGCTTATACCTCACCTTTTAAGTACACTGGTTGCTACCCTCCCCTTGTTCTTACAAAGATGGATGAGAGACATGACTAAAGAAATATTGCTTGGGGTAAAGATAGTCTTTGTTGTCAATTTCTTTGTCTAATTAAATGCAGGCATACTGGAAAAGGAAGGAAGATAGAAGAAATAAATGACTTTACTGCAGATAATATTAATGAAATATGATTTGAATTTCTAAGCCATGGCCTACTAACTACATTTCCTTTTTAATTAGGTTACTTGCTTGGCTAATGAGGAAATGCAGTGGACAGCATATCTCTGGGTTTTAGCAGGATGTTTAACAGGATCTCCGAATAGTGTGACAGCAGAAGGAGGGGAAACTGTAGTGCTGCTTAGTGCCAACCTGGAAAGAGGTCTATGATGAGCTGCCCCAGGGCTCATTTATGTCTTGTCGAGTATTGACTTAGATACAAATGGTGAAGACATGATTATAAACCTGTGATGCCACAAAAATGGGAGGCATAACAAAATGTGGGATGGCAGGATTAAGACATTTCTGAAAGCTAGCTTTAGACATTGGGATGATGATGGCTAAGTCAGTTCTCACAGGATGGTATTCTAAAGGGATAAATCTAAGGTCCAATAAACCAGCCGCGTAAAGTGCAGGATTTGGAGATGTGGCCAAACAACAATATGCGAGGAAAAGACTCAGGGATTTTAGTTGACAGTCAAATGGATTTGTCATGAAGCTAAAGAAGCTTAAACTTCAAGGCCCCTTACTGGCCTGAGCCTCTTCCAAAGCCATGTACTTAACTGTATGTTAATAATTTTGTTTCCTTTTTCCTAAAGGGAGCCCCTGAATTACGTAAACTACACAGCTCCTCAAAGCCTGTATCCCTTGCCCACTGACATTTAATTGTGGATGGTAATAGCCAAAAGTTACTTTTAGACTTATGTAATAGAAGAGTGCACTGAAAGCTATAGACGTCATCAATGCTCATCGTTCTAACCTGGTCAGTGGTCCTACAGTATGGTGTCCAGTGTGAGTCATGACATTTTAGAGAAACTAAACGATAAACAAACAAGCAAACAAACTGAAACAAATCTCCTTGCTGGCTCCTTCTCCTTGACCTTAACCTCTAAATGCTAGACCTGTACCCCTTTCTCTTCTAATACATTGCTCTCTCTGGACCACTTCATCTATTTTCTCACATGCTGATGGCTTCCAAATTCCAAATTAATATCTCCAGCCCAACTCTTAGTTCTCTGAGCTCTGGACTCATATATCTAACTTGGCAACTAAAAACACCAAGGCACTAAACCATGACCAAGACTAAACTCTTGAATTTTGAATTTCCCCCATAACCAACCCCTTTCCAATGGAACAAGTTTAAAGGATAGAGACCAGGGAATGTAAGGAAACTTTAATATCTTGTTTTATGAAGAACAGTGGGCGGAACTGAAAATGATTCATCTAGAAGAAAAACAATTGGCATGTCTAAGATGCTGTTGGGTAGAGCAGGGATCACATCCCTTCCTTGAAGACAAGTAAGAAAAAACTTTCTAACAGAGAGACTGAAAAATGTCCCCATGGAGATGGTGATTTCACCATCCTCGTATTTCACGGAGGGAGGGATTAGCCAGATGACTGTTTTATCTTTAAGTTCTAGTTTTGTAGTTAACCTCCAATGACTGAGACTCCAAAAATCTGAAGCTCAAAATGCACGGACAATTTTATTTTTCAGTCCATTTATTTTTAGCTATTCTTGTCAAAAAAATGTATCATTTTTGTTTTTCCCAAACTGTGCATCTGATTTCTCTGGAATGACTAGTATGTATCAAGGGCTGGATAAAGGAAAAAAACTGGACACCAAATGGCCTTTTAAGGTCCCTTTGTTACTGAGTCATTCTGTGCTCAAACCCTTTTTCCAATACAACAACAGGCAGCCTTAGCTCCAAAAGGCTGGTAACCATTGGTCTAGTCCAGAGATTTCAAATCCACTTTGTCTGTGGCAGCCTTTCTTCAAAGTCCACAATGTCAAAGAGATAAAGGCTGAGCTGCTCTGGTTGGGGCAAGAGGAAAAGAGCGAATTCTACCCAGTGTCCTCCCCTCCTCTTGCCTTCCCCCACCACCCCGATACCATGGATTGAGTCTGTTAGGAGGAACTCCAGAGGTCCTTCTCCACCCGTGTCAAACATCACCTTCTCCAAAAGGTTGGGACGGGGGTTATCAGGCAGGCAGAGGAGAATATGACAGCGTCTCTGACCTAAACAACACACGCCTCAGTATAATGAAGGTGTGTGCTCTTCAGAACACACCCAGTGATTATAAACCCTGGAGAATCTGCCCTTCCACAAACTCACATCTTTCAGTTAAGGCCAGTTCTTTTTCTTCTAATCAGTGGTAAATTCTCATATGTGTATAGTCCATTGCGCTAAAATTCTACTTCCGTAGGCTAGTAAAAATGATTTAAGCAGCAATTTTGTAACACTACGCCTTATTTAAGGAGAGAGGGGAATACTATGTGGGGTCCAGACAGATGAATTACAATACCACCTTATTTAAAATTCTGGCAATGACAAACCCTTTTCTTTACTTATGTCCTTCTGTTTGGTTTTACTGCCAAAAAAAAAAAAAAAAAAAAAAAAAAAAGACTAACCAATGATGTGAGGTAGAAACCAACCACTAGTAACTAACTGCAGAACTGCATAGGAATGCAGGACAGGTGTACATACAGATGAGCTAAGAGTTCAGGGCTGAACCCTGAGCCTATAAGCAGGCCAGTGAACCACTCGCCTATGCTATTGGGCCATAGACCTGCCACTGTCTCCTTTCCCCAGGGCAAGGTGCTGATGGCATGTGTCAGACAGAGTGAGGACTGTAGTTCTAGCTTGAGAACTTTGATACGATTGGACAAAAGTTTACCAAACCTTTACTACGTGTGGGTGCAACAGAGAGGAGATGGAGGAGAAATGAAGGCTAAACTCCACCGGCCTTAGAGGACAACAGATCACAAGCTCTGGCAAAAGACAGGACAAAAGCCTTCACTCTGAAGTGGTGAAGATGGCACCAGCTGTGAGTGAGCCCTGGGCTCCTTCTTGCTGTGGGGAGCCAGGACTATCTGCCTTAGCACCCACATGACATCACACCTTCTGAAAGCTGGGGTTCCCAATGTTCCCTTTCAGTTTTTTATCCCCCACAGTGGGTGGAGAGTGAAACACGATTATGTCATCTGACCAGTCTTTTTATAGAAGGCTCCAGGTGAGCCAAATGAAGTTGGGCAGTAAAGCTCCTCCCAGTGATGAAAAGTACACAGAGACCTCTCTGTGAAGCACATCCTAAGGAAGATTAAATGCAGAAAGACAGATGGCCCTTCACAACGCCCATGAGACGGAGAGTCCGCCATCTCAGGAAGATGGTTTTAAATAGATGTGGTAACTCCTGCAGTCAGCACATCCCTCCACCTCTTCCCGTGGAATTGTGCTATTAGCTATGGGCAGGCCCCAACCTACTGTGGTGACAGCTCTGAATTGTTTCTGTAACTACTAAACACAAATAAACAAAATGAAAGGGGCACATTATTTCGGAAAGAGAAGTTTCCCAGCCAGGAGAAATTCTCGAGCAGAAATAACCAAGTTAGAATCTTCAATCTGATTTTCCCAAATACTACTATCATCATCTGGTTTTCAAACTTCACGTGTATCATCCCTCAAAAAGACATAGTCATTAGAAATATGAATATTCCAGCTTTGGTCCAGGCCCTCCGATCCTCTTTTTCTTGGGGTTTGAACACACCTCCCTTTCTTAGCCCTCTTCTGGGCTATTCAAACAGCCCAAATTCAAATGTTAGGACCAGACATTAAAAGTAACAGAAATCAGAAATAATTAGATCAGGAAAAGTTAAGTACAGGTACTGAAAGAGATCAGCTAAATCCTACTAAAAGTCCAAGAGATCTCTGGAGCACTCTTTCAGAAAACAAGAAACTGGGTTTTCTTCTGGGCTCGCTTCAAGTATTTCCTTCATTTTTGCCATCTGTAACACGTTGACTGTCCCAAACCCCCTCCATCTGTATCTCAGGCACATTAAGAATGCTTCCAATTAATTATATATGAGTGCTCTAAATTCTTTTGGTGATGAGCCATAGAACTATATATTATGTTAGAGCACACTGGTTTCACTTATTTCAAAGGAGGTGTGATATTCCCTTCCCTGCTTCTTCTAGCTCCCTGGAGTGCTTTCAAAGAGCAGCCTGAGGCTGTAACAGTAACCAAGCAATCGTAAAGCTTAGACACTCCCAGAGAGCAGCCCACCTCTTGATCGGTAAAAATCTCTATGAAGTTCTGGAAGGAGAAAGAGCCGGACTGGAGAATGAGCTCGCCAGTATTTTCGAAGCACTGTCCTGTCAGCAGGAGCAGCTTGTGCCGGGCAGCGTCAGTGATCATTAAGCGCACCTGAAACAAAGCACAGGGACCAGAACGTGAGTCGCGGTAGCACGGCATCCCACCTTCAGGACAGGGCTGGCCCTTGGACTGCTTCAGGTTTATTACCAGCAAAAATCATTCATTCCCTGGTATTCAAATTTCCCCTGGGGAGTTGGACAGAGCCAATGACCGTGGTCATCAGCTCACCAGGGAACACCATTTTCCAAGTTTGGCTACAACCAAGACAGCAGCAGTGGTTGACTTTCTCTCTCTAGTTTCCTTGTCTTTTTCAGACCAATCAGCACAGCTGGCGATCATTTGTTCCACAGCTGTGTCTGCTGGCAGTATGTGGTCCAAGAGGCTTTTGAATATTTTACAGGCCGAGTCACCAAGTACTGTCCAGGTCCCCCAACTGCTGCTGCCTCAGGAAACAGAGATTTCCAACTAAATCAGGCCTTCCTATCAAGGATCCCTTTCCTTCTAAGCCACACGCCAAACACATAGCTCCATATGCATCCTCGGATGGGATCAGCCAGGTGCCTAACGTTGAACATAAACAAGAGGCTGCCCCTGATTGGGAATCTTTTAAATAGAATTGTAAATGGTTTCCATAAAGAACCCTGTGTACTTTTTAAGGGGCAGGATGCCAGCCTGCCCTTCAACAGAGGCCCGCTCTAAGCACCAAGGTATTCATTCTAACTCAATTGTGCTCAGCACCAACTGACTGCCAGGCATCATGCTCGGCACTGAGAGAGGAACACAAAAGTAAATGGGCCACAAGGAACCACTGCCCCTCAAAACCCCACAGTCTAATCAAGGAAACATATACATACCAAAGTACACATACTAGCCCCATCTGCTCCACAGGCAAGTCACAATTCCTTAAAGAAATTCCTTTTTTCCCTTTCCATTTCTCACAGCTGTTCCATGCAGTCTGCCTAGACATATATTAATCTTCCAGTGTTTTTCAAATTGTATTTCCTTCCTGATTTTGTTAGTCACAGAGAGATTACTAGCCCATCACGTGCCTCAACTTTATGCTTGAATGGATTGTCAGAGAGGTCCTGTGACCTGGAGCAGGCAGAAGTGGCATCAGAACAGGCTACATAAGGATAACCAAAAAATGGAAGCAACCTAAATGTCCATCAATGAGCAAATGAAATGTGGTATCTCCGTACAATGGAACAGTATTCGGCCATAAAACAGAATGATGTACTGATCTGTGCTACAATGTATGACGTACTGATATATGCTACAATGTGAATGAACCTTGAAAACAGCATGCTAAGTGAAATAAACCAGCCACAAAAGGCCACATATAGTATGATTCCCGGTAATCAAAATATTTAGAAGAGGCAAATCCATAGAGGCAAATCCACTGACTAGGTTATTGGTTGCAAGGAGCTGGGAGGAATGGATAATAACTGCTAATGGGTTCAGAGTTTTTGGAGGGGCTGGGGGGTGATGGACATGTTCTGGAATTAGATAGTGGTGATAGTTGCACAACTTCGTAAACATACTAAAACCCACTGAATTGCACACTTTATTTAAAAAGATGGATTTTATAGTATATGAATAGTATGGTATATAAAATATCTCAATTTAAAAAACAGGCTGTAGTCATAGAGATGCTCAAAATGTGGGCAGAAAAGACACTTTGGATAAAAGGCGCCCCCGCTCCCAGGGACTGTGGCTACACTAATGACCAAGGAGCAACTCAATCTCAAGGGTGCCAAAAGGTAAGAAAGGAAGTAGAAAATGGAAGTATATTAACTCCTCTGGCCCGGATGACCAAGGATTCTTGGCTCCAGCCAAGTTCTTATTTTACAATGGGCTCTGAAATACCCAGTTACTCTCTGGCCATATCATACAATGGTAATAATAACATCAGTAATAAGAACAGCCAACATTTACGTTGCAGTTGTCATGTGCCATGCTCTGTTCTAAGCACTTGACATTTCTAAGCACAACATTAAATATGAACATTAAATGTAAACACCGTTACCATCTCCATTTCACATAGGTGGAAACTGAGACAAAGAGACAGTAAACAACTTGCCCAAGGCTACCAGTTAATAAGTGACAGGTTCCAGGCAGTCCGGCACCAGAGGCCACGCACCTGACCGCAGAGAACCAGCCACTGACTAGGGGTAAGGAAGCATCGTGAAACGAGAACTTTTCTCTCCTGACATCTGCCCCGGACATCTGCCCCAGTGCCTCCAATCAGCTTGTCTTGCCCACTGTGTGAGGGCCTGCCCGAGATGCTGCAGAGCTGAATGCTTACCTCAGTGCTGACCGCTTCATCTGAAGGGTTGATCAGGACCACTGTTTCTAAAACGTCACTTCGGTGATGAAGGATCTTTTGTCCTGCGGGCACAAAAACACAGACAAAAGAAGTGACCTTTAGCTTTTCCGGATTAAAACTGCCCGGCCTGCTTCTGATGAGGCACACAGCACAGGACTCTCCACACCACCTCGGGAAACACAATTGGTGTTACTAAACGAGAGTGTGCGGACCCCGGCGGGTTTCTCCCAGAACTGGGTCTGGGGCTCCTCACGTTCTCATAACCCCCTGGTTTTCATGGTTGATCGCCAGTCTGCCTCTGTGCGTTAAAGGCAGTTTTCATCTGAGACAAGGGGTGGATGCCAGGAAAACTCAATGGGGCTCTTGACATTTCCTTTCTCATGGTAATTGGGGATGTTTCTCCCTATCGGCCTTTCTTCTGGTGAGAACGGTGCTGAGATTAATTAGGGGCCTTATTGTGAAATGAATGACATCCAGAAACCCTGGCTAACAATTAGCCCAACAAGCAGAATGGCTGTCTGAGGCAGGCTTACAGTCTGTTGGGATATTCATTAATTAATTCACTTGCTCATGGAGAAGTGGAAAAACTGTGAGCAAATGAAAAGTGGAGAACCACTCTCCCGCTGGACAGGGCGGCCAAATTCCCCCCTAAAGACAAGCATAGTTGATGGGGAACAACAAAGCAAGGTGTTGTGGGAAGGAAGAAGCCTGTCTAAGGAGAGCTGAAATTCTGCAGGGCCTTTAGCTCCACATCCCCGACTTCCTATGCCGTAGAGGTTTTAGGAATATTATGTGGCTGGAACCATCGCCAGCTAAAGTGGACTGAGGCCTCCTCTCCTTGAACAATGAGATGAAAGCAGTCAGGCAACGTGTGGCCAGCGTGAGTGATATGGGCCTTGTCAGTCTATGAGGGACAGAGGACACGTGTGGGAGGGAGACACGTTGTTGGGAGAGTAAACCAGAAGAATATGTCTGCTGCTTAGAAATATAGTGAAACAAGATGAAATGGAATAGAATCTGAGGAAGGCAGATACCCATGGAGAGAAATACAAAAAGAGAAAATGACCAAAAAACAACTTTCTAGGAAAATGGTTGGGTAGTTCCTCAGAAAGTTAAAATAGAATTACTATATGGCCTAGCAATTCCACTCCTAGGTGGGCAAAAGCGGGGACTTGAACAGATACTTATGTGCCAATGTTCACTGGAGCATTACTCACAATAGCTAAAAGGTGGAGAAACCCCAAATGTTTACCTATGCACAAAACAAAATATGGTATATTCATGCAATAGAATATTACACAGTCATAAAAAGGAATGAAGTTGGGATACATACAACATACAGGAACACTTAAAATTTATCCTAAGTGAAATAAGCAAGGCACAAAACAGAATTACACTTACATATCTAAAATAAATATATTCATTGAATCAGAGAGCAGATTAGAAGTTATCAGAGGCTGGAAGAGAGGGAATGGAAAGTAACTACTTAATGGGTACAGTTTGTTTGGGATGATGAAAAAATTTTGGAAATAGAGGTGATGGTTGTTCAATATTGTGAATGTAATTAATGCCACTGAATTGTACATTTAAAATGATTAAAATGGCAAATTCTATGTTTTCTGTATATTTTACCAGAACTTTAAAAAATTAATAGTGTAATATACCCAAACCCACTGAACAGTACACTTTAAATGGCTGAACTGTATGTGAATTGTAATCTCAATAAAGAGGTTTTAAAAAAAGCAGTCCAGGGTACACAGCTTAGTTAGGGCTTTTTTCCTTTATATCATCAAGGACCAGAAGCACTATGGAAACAGCAACATGTTGAAATATCACCAGTGTATCATCAAGCCTATTCTCCTCCATTATCTTATCTTTCCTAAGCTAATATTTACCAGTAAACCCCATATTAGACATGGAAGTAGCCCAAACTGAAAAATAATGGTGTCAGGCACTGTTCTAAGCACCTCACATGTGCTAATTCACTTGATCTCCAGAAGAGCTCTATAATATAGGTACTATGACTGTCTCCTGTTACTAGGAGGACAATGAGGTCTATAGAAGGGAATTAACTAGCCCAAGGTCACACAACTAGTAAGTGGTTGAGCCAGGACTTGAACCCAGGTCTCCTGACTCTAGAGTTCTTCATTTTATCTTTCTATGGAGCTGGTAACTAGGACTAGAATTTGGAAAAACAGACAAGGCACAGACATTGAATGCCAAGGGAAAGCTAGGGGAAAATCCAGAGGATTAAAATCAGAGATGTGCTTAAAGAAGTCAGAAAGCATTAGAAGAATATTGGCAAAAAGAAAAAAAAAACCCAGGTCTCCTGACTCTAGAGTTCTTCATTTTATCTTTCTATGGAGCTGGTAACTAGGACTAGAATTTGGAAAAACAGACAAGGCACAGACATTGAATGCCAAGGGAAAGCTAGGGGAAAATCCAGAGGATTAAAATCAGAGATGTGCTTAAAGAAGTCAGAAAGCATTAGAAGAATATTGGCAAAAAGAAAAAAAAAAAAAAAGGTGGCAGAACACCCACATAAAATTAAGAGAAAGTGTATGATTCTTTGTTTCCAATGCCTGAAAATGAAGAAACTCCAAAATAGAACAATGTCTCATAGTTTGAGCAGGCAAAGGACTGTGCCTCAAGAAAAATAATTCAACTCAGCCATAGGAAAGAACATTCGTTTTATTATAAATGCCAGAAATTGTAATTTGTGGGACATTGCTTTTTAGCTTGGTTGTTTTAGCTTTTGATAACCATATGCATTTAAATCTCAAGCAAAAGAACATTAAATTGAATAAGCAAATGATGAAATGACAATCAGCAAAACACAGAAAACCGTCCCCTTCCTAAGTAACTTCTATCAGTGGCCTCCTTGAAACAAAGACCTCAAAGGCACTAAGTTGAGACAAAATTAAGCAAAAGCTTAAGACCAAAAAGAGTGAACAGTCATTTCCTTGATCACATTCTCAACATGACTGCTTTCAGGCAGCACGTTGCCATGTGTGACTGTAGTCATGACTGTATGCTGCAGGAACCGGCAAAAGCAGGCTTGGCTCCCTCCCCTAGAGATGGTGGAGGAATCAGAGCCCCTTTCTTTTGTTACGTGATCTACATAACGTGGCAACCTTGCTAACTGCATCCTTCCAGATGCACATCTAAGCAACAACGGCTGGACCAGCCTGCGCTCTGGCCCACCCAACGTGCCCCTCCCTGGACACTCTTTGGCAGGGCACTTCTTACCATCCACAAGAAGTCCCCTTCCTCTGTGGCTCCATCACTTGCAAACAAAACAAATGCCATGTGACAGCGGCCGTTTACCTCTACTCCTTCCAAGTCTGTGTTCAGACTGTTTACTCAGGAATTCAACCAAGGATGTTCTTTTTGTCCATCTCTGGAAATACTGACAGCAACGACAAAGACGTGCACCAAGATGCCATGGCTGCTCCTTTAACAAAAGCCTTTTTATAGGATTGGATTTGAATGAAGGAGGGGATTTAAAGAGAGAGAGAGAGAGAAGCTTCAAGCTCTCGTCACAGCCAGACTGTTGGCCAGATTCTTCCCCTGACGACGTAACCAGGGGCCGGGCCTTCCTGGCATCTGGCAAACCCAGGGCCTGCCTGTGGGGCCAGAGCGCCAGGCCCCTATCCCCAGGGTCCCCGCGGGATGCCGGCTCTTCTGGCAGCGGGCGGCTCTGAGCTCTGGTGGCTGGGACGCTCACAAAGTTGAATATTTGGGGAATGTTTCACACTGGGAAGTGGGCCAGGCATTCTGAAGGGGAGGCCACCACCCTCGCTTGCAAAGGTCTCATTCAATTGCTTCAGAAAAGAAGTTCCCAGGAAAGAAAGACTTCACGGTTGCAGCCTCTCTGTCTCTACCATTATAGTCTGCATTCTCCAGAAACAGCCCACAGGGGAACCACTAGCCAGCCCGATGAATAGTTAACTCTCCTCGGCATTGGTCTGAGGGATGCAAAAGCGGGGGCTTGAGATGGAATGGTTGTCACTATGGCTTTGATAAGACAAAGTCTTCGAGGGCTCCCCACAAACTCTGTAATTGCGAAGGCTCCATCCTGCCATCCTGGGAGGTCAGGGAGAGGGCATGGAGGGGGCTGTCAACAACACAACAAAAAAAAAGGGTCTGCTCCACCTTAGAAACAACAGAGGACGGTCTGGGGACCCCCTGAAGGAGCAGGGTCCTGGCAGACAATGAGACTTTTGTCTGTGCACTCCCAAAGGCCATGCTTGAAGCTCAAATAAGCCTGTATTTTTCAGCTATTGCTGGGACTTTCTTCCTTTTTGAAAATCTGGCCGATTCGTTGAACCTATGTGTCTTTTAAAGTTGGGCTATTCTAGTGGTTTATGTTTTACTATTTCCAGGTGACTCTGAAACCTTTTAAATAATGTATAGGATGCTTATGGGGTCTTCTCTCCACAATTTAATATTCATCTAAACACTCTCTCTCTCACTCCCTCTCTCTCTCGCTCACTCGCTCGCTCGCTCGCTCTCTCTCTCTTTCTTTCTCTCTGCTGGTTTATGAAGAGGCTTACCACGGCTGAATTCAAAGACACCCACTGCTGAGGCACAGCCACAACCAAACCCCCATAAAACTCAGAACCTTCTCTTTTGCAAACATCTGACCCACACACAGGTCCCAAAACAGTGGCCCCCAAAACAGTGGCCGAGGAGGCTGTAACAACTCTGCTGGGGCCAGAGCAACACCCAAAGCAGTCTCAGCCCAGTTAGGCAGCTGCAGAATGAAACAGCCTAGCGCAAAGGACAGTATGCTAGACCTAACGTCCCAGCAGTGCTGAGATGAAGGAAAACCCTCAAGGAAAATAATAACTAGTAATGCTAAACCTTTTAAATTATCTTTAAGTGGATGATAACTCTGTATGTCTTGGAGATAAATATTGAATTTCTATTTCCATTAGTGATCACAATCCAGGACTTCATTTCTGTAACTCCTTTTTCTTGAAAAAAGGAACACTTTGCAAGCATAACCCAGAAATAGAAATTGGAGAATAAAGAAAGCTTTCAGTATCTATCTATTCAG